TGCAAAGAAGATAGACTTTGACTGAATGTGACCAAAATAGTATCAGACTCCTTGTCTGCCAACTGTCAGTCATAAGCAACAAAAATCTCCTTAATAATAGTTTTCTTTTTGATGAGTCATAGGAATAGAGGTGCAGTTGCAATATTTGCCTATTGGGTCATTTAAGCAAAGAACTTGCTTATGTCATTAAAGAGCTTAGAATAAGCATAGAGGGATGGCCCAGTATTTAAGAGCACTGGCTGCTCTTCCAGAGGACCTGGGTTCAGTTCACAGCATCCACATGGCAGCTATCAACCACCTGTAACTCCAGTTCCAGGGGATCTGACACTCTCTTCTGGTTTCTGCAACCACTCCATGATACAGGTACACTTACACACATGCAGGCAAAACATTCATTCACATAAAAATAAATAAATAATTCAAAAATCAATCTTCAAGAAATGAGGCAGGGTGATTCAGTGAGAAAAGGCACTTTCTGCCAAGCTTGCCTACCTGAGCTGGATCTCTGGGACCTGGTTGGTAGAAGGAGGAAGCCAACTCTCTTAAGTTGTTCTCTGACCTTCATATGAGCTCATGTTATGTATCACACACATAAATAAATAAATGTTTAAAAATAGAGGGAAAGAAAAATAAAGAAAAGGCAGGAGGCAAAAATGTGATGTCTTGCTAGAAAATAGCATCCTTTGAATACATAGGTATTTAACACAAGTTCCAAGTTTAATTTAAAATTCAATGTTAAAAGCTCCTGTTTTTAAAAAATGATGTGGTTGATTCATTGGGAATTTCATACAGCATGTTTTCACTGTATTCAATCCTTCCTACATCTCTCTGAAATATCACCACTTCCCTTCTCCCACCACTTCATGTTGTTGTTTTTTAAAGCCTGTGGCATTCAGTTTCTGCTTCCAAATATTCTTGGGTGTGGGTTCATGCACTGGAGCATGGTAAAACTACAAGGTGTCACACTGTTAAAGAAAACTAACTCTCCCTCTCCCAGCAGCTACTTGGCTAGGGGTGGAGCTTCAGGTTGAGATTGTGTCTGACTTGAGCTTGTGCAGGTCTCCTGTGTGCTGTCACAATCACTGTGAGTTCATATGTGAAACTGCCTTGGTGTGCCCATAAAGAATGATTTCACTGTAGACATTCACAAACTCTTGCCCTTATTATTTTTCTGTCCCCTCTTCCACTGTGTTCCCTGAGCCTCTGGGGTGGGTTCTTATATAGATGCCACATTACAGTTCATCACTACACAGTCCCTTATTCTCTACACACTGACTAGTTGTAAGGCTCTGCTGCAAGAAGTTTCCCATGAGAGAGCTGCGAGACGTACTAATAAACAGATAGAAAAATAAATCATTAGGAATTGGTTTAATACTATGTCCAGTTGACAGAATAAGTCATAGTTGCTCCCCTACAGCTTGTGACCACAAGGTACTTTGTCATGATATGGGCACTGGGTATGGGATCCATGTGATGGAACTGGGCTTACATTCAATCACAAAAGTTGGTTACTCTCATAACAGTTGTGCCACTGTTGCACTACTGGGCATATCTTACCAGGCTAGTCATTATTGTAGTTCAGAGTTCAGGTAAGGCTGACAATTACTTTTCTTTTCAGGTAGTGTGCATAGCACCTTCCAGCCCCATGGACACTAGCATGTAGTAATGGGGGTTTGAGTTCAGTACCAGTGTGATTTTTTTCCACCTTTTCTCTAAGATGTACAGATGTAAAGTCTTCAGCTATAGGCTGTTATTGTCAGCCTATAAGTTTTGGAGGCCCACAGGAGCAAGAACAATAGCAGTGTTGATTGAGGGTTTATGGAACGTCCCTAGTCAACAACTCTGGAAGAGGAGGTGTGTTTCTGCCATCTGGCTTTCAATTGCTAGCCTCTTGTGTCTTCTAGGGCCCTGTACAGCCCTTCCCCTCAATTATAGGGTAACCCTATTCAAACTCTTTTCAGATATGTATAGATACATACTTTAAGATACTTCTACAATATAGGTTTCCATATGACTTTTTTCAAAGGTCTGTAGTGTTAGCTATCTCTCCTCATATCCCCTTCTACCCTGCTCTCTGATCCCCCATCCCATTTAACTCTTTCTGTTTCATTATTCATTGTTCTTTATATAACTGCATTCTATCTCCCCTCCCTTGGACGCCCACTATTCCCCATGTCTCTGGCTTCATGACCTCTATGGTATTTCCAAATGAAGCACATATTTCTGAAGGTTCAATTTCAACATCCAAATACCATGTTTGTCTTTCTGGGTCTGGTTTACCTCATTTAGGATGATTGTTTCCAGCTCTATCTATTTACCTGTGAATTTCATAATTTCATTTTTCTTAAAAATCTGTTAAGGTGAGAATCAAAGACAGGAAACCTATGTTTCTATCTTGTTCTAATAACAATGTAAATGTTTATTTATATTTATTTATTTTTATGTGTATATGTGTATTGCTGCATGTGTATAAATGCACCCATGTCATGCAATGTCCACTGAGGTCAGAAGAGGGTATTGGCTCCCCTGGAACTGGAGTTACAGATGGTTGTTAGCTGCCATGTGGGTGCTGGAAATCGAACCTGGGTCCACTGTTAAAGCAGTCAGTGCTCCTAAGCTCTGAGCCATCTTTCCAGGTCCCATAAATGTTTGTTTGGTTTTTTGTTTGTTTAATGTGTATGAATGCTATGCCCGCACGTGTGTAAGTGCACCCATGCCATGCATTGCCCACGGAGGACAAAAGAAGAAATCAGATCCCATGAAACCGGAGTTAGGATAGTTGTTAGTTGTCATGTGGATGCTGAGATTCGAACCCAGGTCTTCTGCAAGAACAGCCAGTGCTCTTAACCACTGAGCCATCTCTCTAGTCCCAACAAAGTAAATTTAAGCATGGAAGGGCCTAATAAGATTTGTAATTTAGTGGATAAATGAGGATCTCACAAATGCTAGCGTGGTAAAGGTCACCTGATGCTATTGGGTAAAACATTATGAGTTGGGGTCTTCTAACAAATCTTTAAGTCACTAGCATAATGGTTTTGCAAAGACATCTCATCATCCTCTTTTACCTCTTGTGTTATGATGTGAGCACTTTCGCTCTGCTTCTCCTTTTCAATAAGATACATTGTTTTTTTTCTGGAATCACAAAAGGACAAGGTCTACTCAGTCATGGATAACGGCATCTAAGTCATGATCTAAAACAATCTTCTGTTTACAAATTAACAATTCAACTGTTTTGCTACAGTGACAAACATCTAGTACAGTATATTATTCTAACTACAATAAAGGATGAATTGGAAAAAGAATAATGCAGTCAGATATGTGGGTAACACAGATTGATACTGCTAAAAATTAAAGGTAACAGGGATACAAAGAAAGTGTAACATTTAAGAAATGTTTCAGGAGTAGATTTAACAGAAACTCTTTAAGAGGAAAACACCTGTATCAGAGGGAAAGGATTTGCAAGCAAGCAGTTTTCTGGTTTAAGTCATTTATACAATGCATTGAGCAGGGGACATTTTGGAAGAAGTGATAGTGATTTCTTTCAAAGTGAGAGAAGGCTCAGGTACCTATAAGATTATTTATTTACTTATTTATTTATTTATTTATTTATTTATTTATTTATTTATTTATTTGAGGAGACAGGTCAACCAAGTCTGGCTTTCAAATAGGTGTGACCTGGAGGCAAAGTTCATTGCTATTACCATGATGACAGCAATTACATCCATGGATATCATCCATAGAGTGGGTGATGTAATCTAAGAGTTGAAGAGAGTAGGGAAGAGATCCAAGGGCAGGGCCCTGAGGCTCAGCAAACATTAAGACTTAAACAGAGGACAGAGTTACAAAAGAAGTGGTCTGAAGAGGCTAGAAAAAGAAAGCCTAAGTTAAAGACCTTGATAGACCCTAGAATTCAGGAAGAGTGTGTGGCTGTTTTTCATAGTGACTTTCCAAGTGTCTACTAACAGACCTCTCTAAATGGTAAGCTGATCTTTATGTGTTAAGAGCACATTCCATTCAGAATCATCCACAGGGCTCCCACAAGTTCGTTAAGACATATGTTAAAGGTGCTTCTTCTGGAGAAGATAAGGATCCCAGTTCACGTTCATTAGCACCTAAATCTGTTCCTTCCACCAAATCACAATTGTGATAGATTCTGTTGTGTAGCAATTTCCACCTAGGCTAAACCTTCCATCTTAGAGGGAAGTTCCTTAAGAATGTCAAAGGGGAGGTAAATATCAAGGTGCTTAAAGGGAGGTAAACAACAAGATGTTCTAAAGAGAGGTCAACAGCAGGATGTTCTAAAGTGAGTCATTAACAGGACATTTTGAGGCGGGGGTGAAACATGTCTGTCCTGCCAGGAAGCTCATTAAGCTCAGGAAGAAAACACAGTGGCTTCAGGAAGTCCCTGAAATTATCCAGGTTCATTAGGAGATATTCACCCAAGCATATTATATATATATAATATATATGGCCTAGGGAATGTTGAGAGACTCTCAGACAAACAGAGCTGCATAGAAAGCTGTCAGAGAAGCTTAGCTTCTTGGAGCAAGCAGAGACCAGACCAGAGTTGACTGGAAGAGGCTCAGACCACCTGAGCTACCTGGAAAGTACACTCTCTAGTGTGCTGTGGTACATGCAGGTTGGGAAGTGCACACCAGTTTCCTGCTTCCTGAGCCATCACCCACACTGAGGTGAAATTTTGGTGATGAAGCTGTCTTTGAGTCATCTCTGTTCCTGTAACTCCTCACCAATGCTCTTATAAGTAACCCCAATAAAACTCATTGGTTGGCCAAGTTGAATTTTGATGGTATTCTTGCTTTGGCTGCCATGGGTTGTCTATATGGGGTGAGTAGATCGATGCTTGTGTCTCCATAGGAATGATATTACACAATATGTCGTGTATCTGGAAATGTTCTGCTCTCTTCCTAACCGCATGTCTTCTCTCAAGTACTTACTATAGAGCAGAGACTCTATAAACGTATGTGTTTAATAAATGAATAGCTCCTTTTGGCAAAACATATATTAAAATTGGAACTATACAGAGATGAGCATGGCCACTGCACAAGGATGACACACAAATTCATGAACCGTTCCATATTTTTCAGCAAGCACAAGACCCATGCATATTCAATCAGACAAATACCAGCACAGATAGAACTCGGAAATGGACAGCAGATTCCAACATTAGCCAGAGAACTTTTGGCAGCTGATTACTGCTGGGTGAGGGAGAGATGATTTTCTTTAAGGAACTGACTCTAGATAGGCTGACTAAACTCTGGTGGATGAACTTGCGTTGAGGGATGCCTGGGCATACTAAGTTGACTTGATAGGTCTTAACATATATGACAATGTATAAAGTCCAGGGGCGGGGGTGTGAGGATGGGTAGGGGGGTATAAAATAATTAAGATATTTAGTATGAAATGCATGAAGATTTTGTAAAAATAAACATAAATAAATGGTCAATAACAGCTGAAGAGCAATTTTGAGGAAGTGGAGAGGAAAAGTAATCGTGTACTTAAAAGGTGCATTGCCTGGGTTCTAACTGCAACTCGGCTACTTCTTAGCAATGGAATTAATTTTGAGCTATTAAATAATTTTGCCTACTAAGCAGCAAACCACTCATTTTACATGAATTACTGACTCTATAGGATCTGCTCATTATAATTTTACTCTAAAATACTAAAGAGAAAAATGAATCTCTCATGCAATGACGCCACAGAAGTCTTTTTTTCTCAACCTTTCCTCACAAGTCTAGGGAGAATTACATGTGCTAGTGTATGTGAACATCTTAATGAATTATTAAAAGCAAAACAAAACTCAACTCAATTGCAGCATGCCCACTTCTACTGGCACCCGAAATAATCTCTGATCTAGCCCTGGGTTAACTGTGGGTTCAGCTTTAATGACAGCTTCATACACTGTTGTTTAAACAGTCATCCTCAGACTTGGCGTGGAGCAGGTGTATTCAGTAATTACTTAATTGTATGTATATAATAAGGCTTGGCAGTTTCAATAATAGTCACCATGATAAAACAGTGGAGAAAGGTAAGTCTTTCTGGGTAGATCTAAAAGTCTAAAACAGTGCCAACGATTACCCCATTTTGCTGACTTTGGAGTGCTATGTTGTGTCTGAAAGACAGAGAGTGGAGGTCCTGAGCTCAAGCGCATGTGACTTCTGTTTGGGATCAGAGATAGACTATTTGGCAGGGTATAACTCCTCAGAACGCTCACCCAGTAACAGCTTCCCACTGACATGAAATCATGACAGTCTTTCTGAGTTGACGTATGCAAATTTGAGTCATTCATCTTTAAGAGTTATTCTATAGGCATCTCAATATATACCCAACCCAGAATTCCGTTTGTGGCAACTACGTGACTATGCGAAAGAGTAGTTGTAAATAGAAAAAAATCTGAGCCAGTGCGGTCACTGTTCTGTGTTGCTAGCCTGCTTTGCCGAGGAGTGTGATGGTCATTGTTTCCTGTCTGCACACACTCCCTCGTCCACACAGATGTGAAGGTTTCACAGTTGTCTTCCTTGCCAAGGAGCAAAGGAACTGTAGACATATTACAGCTTGAAATGCTCTAGACAGGAAAAGTGTTAGAATATAAATGTTTTATGTTTTGCAAACAGTGTGTCAGAACCATTCAACTGAATCACTGCAGCACAAAATAGCCACATCAAGTAGATGAGCAAATGACCGTCATTATTGTTTTCCAATAAAACTTTATTTGCAAAAAGTGACAGAAGATCAAATTTGCCTATGGACCATGGTTTACCAGTCCCGGTCTCACTGTGTCATGCTACGTTTTTAAATATTAGTATCTAATATGAAATAGTCATGTAACTGTCATCCGCAAACACGAAGTCCTACTGATTATAGTGTTTTCAAGTGAACTTAACCAGAACGTGCCTAAATTTCAGCATCAGAATAATATTGCAGAACTAAAGAGATGTCTCAGCTGTGAAGAGCACATACCGCTCTCACAGAGGACATGAGTTCAGTTCCGTTTGCAGCACCCATGCCTGGAGACTCACAACAGCCTGTAACTCCAGCTCCTGAGAATCTGATCCCCTTTGCTATTGTCTTTAGGCACTTGTGACCGACAAACTCATACCCACAGACATATACACATATATACACATAACAATAAAATAAAATATCTCCTCATCGACTTCTCAGAGTGTCACTTGATGTCTATGCTCATATAGAGTGGCATGTTTCATTTGATTGGCTGGGGAGATAGCTCAGCCTATGTTTGATCCCCCCAAATCATGTAAAATGTAGTCTCCACAGCATGCATCTATTATCCTGGTATTGGAGAGGTGAAGACGAGTGGATCCCTAGTTCTCAGCAGCCAGGCAGCCTAGAATGTTTGGTGAATTTCATGTCAGTGAGAGATGCTATCTCAGTGAAACAAGGTTGACTGTGCCTGAGGAACTAATGTCTCCGGCATCTATGTGCATTTATTCATACTTTCACACAGGTGCACACACAGGAACACATACACATGTGCTCACACAACTGTATATATAT